TAGTTCAGGACAGTTGAGTAGTAAACATCTCTCTGTAAGAGTGTTTTAGGCAGTTTACACACTGCTTTCTCAATTCAAGGCTTTCACACAACTTTAAAGTACATTCATAGAATTCTGGAAGATTCTATATATAATCTGGCTTTCGCCAATCTTGTGGCGAAAATGGGGCCAAAACCCAAAAAATCCTTGGATAATTCTTTAAATACTTCCCTGGAGGAAATGGATAGTGAGACCTAATCTACAAAGAATTGGACCTAAAGGTATTTTAATCTACAAATAATTAGATCTAAAAAATAAAAATGTAGAATTTAGTGTAAAATCATTTTATAGATCTATGTCTCAGTTACGGTTTTCAGAAAAAAAAACTTGTAAATTGAGAAAAGCTAATATAGATTTAAAAAAATGTAACAGTACAATAAGAACTATGAAATTCTGTAGACGAGGAAAATGACATTAAAGCAATCTTGTTATAAAGCAAATAGTTTCACTAATTAAAATTAACTTATTGAATAAACTAAGTTTGTATAACTGTAAAATTGCTGTGTATTAACGCCATAGCTTGAGTATTATAGTGGTCTTCCTATTCCATAGTTTTATGGGTCTTACTGTATAAAGATATTACATCTGTGTTGTATATTGTTTGTGTGGACTAACTAATATTGTTTATATAGGGAGGGGAGGGTTACTAAGAGTTAGTTTACACCAGTAGTTAGGGGGGGGGTATTTATTATTTATACACTTTTAACCCAATATATACACACACTGACACACACACAAACAAACAGACAAACAATTTTTATAAACGAAAATACAAATATACAAAAAATCAAAAAGCGCATTTAACAAATACACAGAAAACGAATAAAATAAAGGAAGAGACAAATAATTTTGATTTATTCAACAAAAAAATTGGATAAATATATATTAATACAACTAGCTAAAGAGCCCGGCGCTGCCCGTGGAAAAAAAACAAAAATTGAACCAAAATTTTAAATTTATTTTAGCCTAAAACATCCCCTGGCCACCCATGAGTGTCCACAAAAAATTTCAGCCTATTAGGTCGAGCCGTTTGGCCGTTTATATATATATATATATATGTATACGTATGTCTTGTGAATTGTGCAGTGTAAACAGACCTGTTTCACTTAATTAGTCATACCATAAGTTTCAAGTTAAACTATTTGCTCTGTAACACCATCAAATTCACTTAAGTATTGTTATAAAGTCGTCTTCCTTTTTCAGAGTTTTCTGGTTATTACTGTATAATAAACAAACAAAATCAATTATTTAAATAAACTAACAAATACGAAAAAAATTTAATTAGCAGCATAAGCTTAAACAAATTTAATTAGCAGCAGAAACTAAAACAAATTTAATTAGCAACAGAAACTTAAACAAATTTAATTAGCGACAGAAACTTAAACAAATTTAATTAGCAGCAGAAATTTAAACAAATTTAATTAGCAACAGAAATTTAAACAAATTTAATTAGCAGCAGAAACTTTAAAAAATTTAATTAACAGCAGAAATTTAAACAACTTTTATTAGCAGCAGAAGCTAAAACAAATTTAATTAGCAGCAGAAACTAAAACAAATTTAATTAGCAACAGAAACTTAAACAAATTTAATTAGCAGCAGAGGCTTAAATAAGCAGCAGAAACTTTAAAAAATTTAATTAGCAGCAGAAACTTAAACAAATTTTATTAGCAGCAGAAGCTAAAACAAATTTAATTAGCAACAGAAATTTAAACAAATTTAGTTAGCAGCAGAGGCTTAAATATAGTTAATAAGCAGCAGAAACTTAAAAAAATTTAATTAGTAGCAGAAACTTAAACAAATTTAATTAGCAGCAGAGGCTTAAATATAGTTAATAAGCAGCAGAAACTTAAACAAATTTAATTACCAGCAGAAATTTAAACAAATTTAATTAGCAGCTAAAACTTAAACAAATTTAATTAGTAGCAGAAAATTAAACAAATTTAATTAGCAGCAGAAACTTAAACAAATTTAATTAGCAGCAGAAACCTAAACAAATTTAATTAGCAGCAGAAACCTAAAAAAAAATTTAATTAGCAGCAGAAACTTAAACAAATTTAATTAGCAGCAGAAACTAAAACAAATTTAATTACCAGCAGAAATTTAAACAGATTAAATTAGTAGCTAAAACTTAACAATTTAAATAAAAAACTTAAACATTTAGACAAATAAATAAACAAACCATCTAGTAAATAAACATAGAGACAAATAAATTTTACCAAACATATGGAATTTTTTTTTATTAAACACACAGACAAGTACAGGGTTGCCCACAAAGGGTGAGACTGTAAAGACGATCGGAAACTTTTAAAATGTGATGATTCTGCCTTAGATATAGTTATCTTATGGCATATTTAATGATTTGGCAAAGAAAAAATAAGTTTACATATATATAACATTAGGAATCAGACAGTATCAGGAATCAGACAGTTGTTAAAATAAATTCGAAATATAAGGAAGACGATTGTACCGACTCAAATGCCGATGCCTATTTTCAAGACGTGTGAATNGTAGGTCAATTCTGAAGTCTCATCCTTTGTGGGTAACCCTGTAGTTTTAATGAGCATACAGACAACAAATTGTGACATACGAACAAGCAAATTGAATTTTATTTATAATGAATCACAGATGTATGAATACATAATAAGAGTTTTTTATAATGTAGTATTCTCAACATATTTAAGATCAAATGCCGCGGAAAAACGATACTTTTTTTTTGAATTGCTGTCCTGCATATTTCAGGGATATTAATTTACCTTGAATTAAGAATAAAAAGTAGTTTCTTAAGAATTATCAAAAAACTTATGACTCTACAATGATATTTGGATATATTTACATACATTGGTTTCAACCCTTTGAAACTGCGAACAAACCAGCCGTTTTCTTTTTGTGCAGACCAATCATGAAGCATAACAGCTGTCGTAATTTTTAAAATAAATTTTACGTTATGTAATCTATATAGATATCTAGGGTTTTCTTACATACATGCGAGATTGGCTATAATCACAGTAATCCCAAGTTACCGTAACTTTGATTGTTAAAGATATTTTAAACTACAAAAATAAAAATATTTTTTTCTAATTCAATGTTAAAAGTGAAATATAATCTTAAATTCGAATTTCAGTTTTCTTTGCAGAATCCAATTTTATTAATTGCATGCATTTAATGCATTTAATAAATTTCAATTCAATCTATTAATGACGAGTTAAGATCGCTTTTAAAAGGCTTTTTGACATTTTTACATTGAATACCCCCTAACCCCACGCTTCTATCTTGAACCTCCCTTTCTCCTTACCATCCTTCTCCCCACTCCCTTTCAATCGTTTCCTTCCCGTCCACTTCCCTGCCTTTCCTGCTTTTCCCTGCCTTTCCCTTCTTATCAATTCCCTCAACTACCTTCTTCCTTTCCCTTACCCTTCTTTTCCTTACCTTCCCTTACCTTCTTTTCAATTTCTTCTCCTATCTTATTTTTCCTTTCCTTCCACTACCTTCTCTCCTTCCCTTACCCCCCCCCC